GTCCTACCAACGCTGCGACATTGGGGGCTCTCTCGGGGTCAGGGGAACGATGCTCGTTTTTTTTTTACTCCGTTTAGCATTTTTGATACCCACCTATATAATGATGGGCTCTGAACGTGGGGCTGGGTATACTCACGGGTAGCTTGTCAGGCTCTCCAGAGTGGACATAGAGCTTTATATGTTGGAGGCGACCTCTAACCGCCTCTCATATACTTCCCAGTCACTTCATTGCAGGTTTTTGGCCGAATTGACTCGTAGAATACAATCCGCATAAGTAAGAACGCACAGCAAGAAAAAAAGCAAGAAGAAGGAACAAGGACGCAGAACACGCATGCATGAATACGCCTCCTAAATACAGAAGGCTGGGGCTAAATCGGCGCAACAGAAATAGAAAGTGCGTCTACTGCATCCACCTGCGTCTCAGGATAGCATAACCTCTCTTTTAGTCCGCGATTAACTCCCTATCCCCACCTGGGGACGCGCCAAGTAGCCTCGCGACTAACCGGCTCGAGATCCCTGATATAAGGGAGATCCGTGAAATCAGTAACATACAGTAAATAATAGCATATATACCATACATACCTAGAGACCGATAGAGCAAAGTCTCTTCTACAATGCTGTCATGTCCGAAACCACTCCAGTCCTCTAGTTATCAAGAAACTATCGTCTATTTTAGGAAAAATAGTACGGCCGTAGAGGCTGAAAATTTGGAAATAACCTAAGCGGCAGGGCCAGTAATTGCCAAGCGAAGCGAATATGTTGTGTGAAGAAGGAGGATGTTGCTCGTTGGGCAACACCACTGTCTTTTAGGGGCAAGCACAACAATATTATTAGAATATTTATTGAATACTAAAATACTGTTACAGTTGAGGTAATGCACAATAGTAAATGTTTCAAAGCATAACCTTACAAAACCTAGAAAATTCTTTTAATGCGAGCAATAAAATATTCCAAATGCAAATCCACAGAAAAAAATGCACGTGAAGCGAAACGAATGGCCGTATTATGTAAAGAGGAAATATCCGTTTAGTCATCTATCAGTCGGATAAATTTGATTCTTTGAAAGATAGTCATCACTCCAGACTCCTTGAACGTCCCTCATGACGCGAAGGCATTTTTCCTCTTCAAATGGAAGAGTTACAATTTGAACAGAAAGAGGCAAACCAACACTATTGATTGATGAGTCTCGAATAATCCGCAACGCAACGTTATGTCCTGAACAGTTGACTTCAGTGCTTTGATACCACGAAGCACTGACCGTACCATGAAAGCGAGAGTGGACCTACCAACAGGATACGTTGATTCGTTAACCAAATCTTCGTCGTCTTTTACGGTGACTTTCCCCACAGGAACGACACCAGCAGGAAAGTCGAGCAAATTAAATAGTGCTGTATAAGTGACCGCCATCGACATTTTCGATGGAAAACGATGCGGAACTGCCGGTACTGAAATCCGAGGAATGATTAAACAAAATTGGTGACAAAAAAGTTAAGATGTTTACAAACCAGGAAATGATGGACATATCAGCGCATCCAATTCCAGACTCTTCCAATAAGCAATAAACTGAAAATATTAACCTCTATAACCTAATTCATTGTGATAATATTTTCCACGAACGTCTCACTTCTTTCTTGTAAACATCGCATCGTTCATTGGTATAACGAAGGTCATCCAGATTCGAGATGTAAGCTGAGCAAATCGCAGACAGTTGAGGACTGATCGGCCGAAGCACGAAAGATGCAAGCCACCTCACAATACGAGGAACCTGATACGACAGAAAACCACAGTGGGAGTGATGGGATGATGACAAACATGTAAAATTGCCTGCCCCGATGTTGCGGACGAAAAATTTTAACATCACGACAAGATCTCCAAGAAAACACAAAAGCACTTAAATACTCACTTTTAGAAGCATCACAAAATCCTTCATATACGGATCAATTGCATCGTTTTCATACAGAGCTCGAATATAGTGACCACCATCAGGCATAAGAAGCTGCAAGTAAAAAGGGGACTACAAGAACAATCTATGAAAACAGGGAATGATGTCAACCCGAACATGTACCTTGTACAGAAGCTGCACCATTTCGTCAACATTTGGTACGGTGAAACGAACAAGGTCGTGACCCTCAAGCTTCAAACGCTTGACCGTTTCAAGAACGCCTCGTCTAATGCTAAAATTTTCGAGTCTAGCCGGTGCTAGGGAATATCACTAATTTCTCCGCTTCAGAAAGTCAACAAAAAGCATGCTACAACCTTTTTCAACAAACCCATAGTAACTATGTATTACCAAGGCACTGGTGGGCAAAAACCGTCACTGTCAAAGTACCCAATGCGAAGCCTACCAGTTTGGCGCACAGTCTGAAGGACAACATTAGATTTCTATTCACAAGAAAAAAAAAGAGAGGACAAAGAAACAAACCTCTTCGTTCAAAGGGAAAGGAATTGAAGTGGGGACAAGCTGACGATAACAGGAGTTTCCGAGAAACAACTTAAGCAGTTCAATTTGTTCTGTCACTGTGTTCGTAAAAAATCCAAAACTCAGTCCATAGCGAGAACGACCAGGGATCCCCGGATGAGTATTTGTTACAACCAATCGATCTATACGCATTTAATCAATAAACGAGGGTTATTTTATACATTATTGCAATAAAATGTCAAGAAATGTCAAGTTATGGCTGGATCAAGTTCACACGGTCAAAGGACAAATATTTCGGAGAAAGAACAGAAATAGTAAAAAAGGAAAAAGTGAATACCTTGTGTTGGTTTAAGGGTAATAAATCCACAGAAAGCAGCAGGAATACGCAAACTACCGGCAAGGTCGCTTCCAGTGCCAAACGGAGTACCACCGGCAGCGAAAAGAGCACCTTCACCTCCAGAAGAACCACCCGGAGTCCTAAAGTTCAACGACGGAGGTGAATATCACGTGCATTGAAAAAATTAGAGATATCAACCAGAAATGGCAACCAGGAACATAAAATCGCTATATTGATAATAATATTCCAAAGCCTAAATATTGCATTAAGTACATATTATGCAGACCTGGTCACATCAAGAGGATTCAATGTGGTTCCATAGACACTATTTGAACAAACGAAAGAGAGCAGAGCTTGTGGAACATTAGTGATGACGAAAGGGATCTATAAACAACTAATGTGTGAAAACCTTCGCAATTACTAGGAGAAATCTTGTATATACTATGCATATGGTCCAGTTGACATTATCACAAGTACACTTTGCCTTAGATCTTCTTTGTGTAAGTGGCTGGAAACAGTATAGTTTACCAGCTCAGGACAGCAATTCTATGTGTCACACATAAGGGAAAATATGGACAAAACTCGTGTAGGACTCGAATGTAGCTGCTTAGTTCCCTCAAGATCGTTTTGTAACCTACAAATACACCTGGTTAACGTGGATCACAAACACATACCCACCCTGTGCTCGCCTTAGATAACGCATGCGTCTACTTGAGATAAACTTCTACCAATCTTGCTCTCCACATAGTGTCATTTCTTCTGAAGACATAACTACCACATCTAATTTTGATTCCTATGTTCACTCGGCGATGCCCTCCTATTCAGCACGAGTGGTGGTCAGTTGTCATCCAATCTGAAAAGTCAACTTCCCCATTCGAGCACATCTCCCTCTATTGGATTCGATTCGATGCAGCTGCGAACACCCACGTCGTAAGCACGGCCAACTTTTCAGCGCGGACATGTATCAATGTGGCTCTGAAGAAGGCGAGTGTGCCGAAACATTAGTCGAGTAGGAGATTTTTATAGCAACCTCGTGTCAACTCAGTCATATAGGAAATTATTCATCTTTTGATCAGTAACTGACTATAATTTGACTTCCAATTACTGAAATGGATCATGATTTTCGTGTAGAATAAGCTGTTATAAAAAATACAGGAATAGATTCAACAAATAATGCAAAACATTTGCAAATGCTGATTGCAGTATGATTATAACACGGACCGTGGTAGCACATAGTAAATAGTAACGCGAATGCCACTCATCCCCTTGGGTGATAAAATAATGTCTCTTTCATATCCTTAAGACGT